TGGTTTAAATATAAACTTAGGTCAAAGACTTCATTAATCAGAATAAAGCTGAAAGGGACCTATTGAACTAGGTCTAACTTCTAGTCCAAACCCCTACCCAAGGAAGAGACCTATATCATTCTGGACAAATGGCCATACAATCTCTTCTTAAAAACCTCCAATGACGAAGCACAACTTCTGAAGGCAAGCTTTTCCACAGGTTAATTGTTCTCACTGTTAGGAAGAATTTTCACAGTGGAGATCAGAATGGAAACATGTGCAGGAATCAATAAGTTATTGGCTTTGTTAAGAGTCACAGATCTTCATTCTCTGGGTCTGAGTGTGCATTTAATGATTCTGTATTCATCATGGAACAAATAGATCAAAGAACTCCAATATTAAATATGGAGAACATAACCAGAAACAAAAAAAAGTGAATATTTAAAGTCAGTCTGAAATCTTAGACCAACTGTAAAGAGACTGACAACCTGAAGAGTAAGCTAAAGCTAATCATAAAAATATTCCTTTAGACCTCAGTTGAAGTGAGTATCTTAGAGCAAATTAAAACTGAAATAATTCCAGAGTTTCATTAAACAATGTGAGATATCTGAGGCGATGTCTTAGCCTTTTAAGGATTATGAAACAATCCATGCAAATATATCTTTGCTGAAAATCTGCTCAGCTGTCACACAGCTTGTTAGTGTTTTTAAATACAAATATATTTTATTAATGCTATTACTTTTTATTATTTCTGGTACATTTTTTTCACATTTTCTGAAATATATTTTAAAGAACTATTGGGCTTTTTGTAAAAAAAAAAAGCAAAAGTATTTAATTTTATTTTCATTTATATACATTATTCTTGCAGGATACGATCGTCAGAATACTGGAAAATGCTATCCTTCGTTTTTGCGATCCAGGAGATCAACCAGGATTCTCATATCTTGCCCAACATCACCCTGGGTTACAATATCTATGAAAATTATTTCAATGCAGAAAAGACCTCAGATGCTTTGCTGGACCTGCTTTCAGATGGGGAGGCCAATGTTCCCAACTACAGTTGTGGGAGACAGAGAAACACAGTGGCTGTTCTTGAAGGAGCTGAAACTGGCTTCTCCATCCAGATATCATCCATGTTGGGGACCTACAAAATTCCACAGGTGAATCTTTGCTGAGAAGGCCAGTTTTAATTATGCAGCTTTCAATCAGAGTGTCAAGAATGAAATGTTGACAGCTACATGCCTCTGCGTTTCAGCTTGTTTTTAGATTAAGGGGCGGCGGGGGGGGGGGAGAGGTGTTACTTTCAAGTGGATTAAATGGTGAAATGAAACCTCTTTGATTCAGCTGAAGACCGTGAGAACCTGAAGCCTTGTCAAGGACACCAGAACAGGTGTGGATTTGAAGCAGATGGTTCCCATAACAAAGTGAATTTGTTGATATGAATTAGATAAGATGTTGGGGGTTTGGCTGGGATAATTATTGTTTAAGTCTATGAATTGGTGTTTGGAACCTCAGAGTTAGTTTTGCTTCGAGAAAACCATGCAGTATATTCATATAAACAGCAAGATTTTTGGAAACAGAATGAACCTGGAGTTTTATTTGGATTCTTGGGCTGGATGTTGACCCAGAGGTTCTCTCTTGCAAATGAAGATAAGAGTTTTATGATGCAAATGATAGGCCTTAAGAAAGATCTTTCAAATTATCCAAAGGGTAAAGCAAACCTATCCCCTCTCTCCATAGTCCCAGTCCAGATTTGGGGACCTTTTCCTGGGATAAAAGTTTTCCTCTCAAGGAGCAAATAAGGAGAAAAGCAATGCATAAGGCAATGGATCTGTAGAGAAGTTGCGAAGCAAACTGACATTGCTGTCAATGAAGCGGTACACATAGTGACAGGATGCCTTAAACCAGGGGTATCAAGCTGCCGGCCTGTGGGCTGGTTGCATCATACAGAGGCCGTGTCCACCCCAGCTCCGGCAATGCAAAAAAAGGCACGATATGTCGCAACACGTCACGTGACATGCCTTATGTTATGGTTCCGGCTAATGAAACACTTCAAAGAACGTCCAGGCATTTATTTTCCTAAAAGTCAGTGATTGTTACAAAATGTCGGCACAGGCATAATGGAGGGATGCTAGGATCTAAGTTCTCTTCCTCTGAGCAGTTAAATTATCAGCATGTTCTCTCCTTAAATTAGCCGTCATATATCACATTATCCAATTAGTGTAAAGGTCAAAGGTTTTCTTCCTTTTTCCTGGGGGGGGGGTTTACCCCCCATCCCCTTTCTGCTCTGTATTAACCCCATAAATACCAGACAGTTCTGCATATTATCAAAAGCAAGAATATACAATATTTCTGTGTTGACATCTTAAACCCATACCATTTGTTGGTATTGCTCTACTTAGGATTAGGAGAGAAGTAGCAGCAGATGCTGAGAGAACCAAGCAAGACAATGGTTGTTCTGTTCCTAAGTGTAAGACCAATATGCTCAATCTGAGGGTTGCTGGTGGATAACAACACACTGTGCAAATGTGGAGAGATGCAGAGTCCAGCCCATTTGTTGGTCTGTCAATTATTGCCAGTAGAATGCACTGTTTCTGGCCAATGACAAAGCCCAAAAGGTGGTCTCATTTTGGCAGTTTAAGGTTTGATCTGGACACGAAATAAATAAACAAAAATAGAGAGGTTTTCACTGTAAGGAGTGGAACTAACTTTTCATTAGGAACAAAATTGGAACCTTACATTTTGGCTCTCATGGGATTCAGATAAAATACCAGTCAATCAGAATAGAGTTGGAAGACTTCTTGTTCAACCCCTGCTCAAGCAGAGATCCTATGCCAGTGGTTCTCAACCTTTTTAATGCCACGACCCCCAACCGGTTGTAAGTCGAGGACTACCCAACCAGTTGTAAGTCGAGGACTTTCCCTGCCCAGGAGCGCCGCGCATGCGTGGTGCCACCCCCTACACTGGCCGAGGCGTAGCTGGCAAGGGGCAGTGACAGCGCAGGGCGACCACCGGCTGGGCCACCAGCTGGCCCAGCCCAAGGGAGGTAAGGCACCCGTCGGGCCCCACGCGCGCCAGCAACCCTCCCTGTGCCCGCTGGCCTCTCACCTCACACCCCTGGCTCTCTTTTACTTACATTTTAGTAGTTGCTCAGCAGGGAGGGGTGGAAACTTTCAGACAGCTCGCCTTCGCTGCAGACAACTTGCAGCACCGTTTGCAGAATGGGACTTTTGGCGGGCTCAGCAGGGCAGAGACAGCCTGGACAATTCCTATTGGCTTTTGAAAGCCAATTGAATTAGACTCTATTCAAGAGAGTCTATTCTATTGGCTTTCAAAAGCCAATAGAATAAAAGGGAGTAGCACAGCTAAGGAAAAGGGGGGGGGGGAAATGGCGGACTGCGTTGTTTGGCAACCCCCGTGAAATGGTCGTTCGACCCCAAATGGCGTCGCGACCCACAGGTTGAGAACCGCTGTCCTATACCCTTTCAGATAGGTGGCTGTCCAGTCTTTTTTAAAAAAACCTCCAGTAATGAAACACCCCCAACTTCTGAAGGCAAGCTGTTCACTGTTAGGCAGTTTCTCTTTAATTCCAGGTTGCTGCTCTCCTTGATTCCATTCTATTCATTGATTCTTGTCTTACCTTCTGATACTTTGGAAAATAAATTGACCCCCTCCTCCTTGTGGCAGCCCTTCAAACACTGGAATACTGCTATTATGTTCCCCCTAGTCCTTATTTTCTCTAAACTAGCCATACTCAGTTCCTGAAACTGTTCTTGATATGTTTTTGTCTCTAGGCCAGAGGTCCCCAACCCTTTGGGCACCAGGGACTGGTTCCATGCAGAGATATTTTTCTGCAAACTGGAGAGTGCATGGTTTTGTGTGCTGCCTGCATCCTGCAGATGGGGCTTTGCTTGTTTGTGCGGACCAGATGCTGTCATGCCATGGCCCAATACTGGTCCATGTCCCGGGGACCACTGCTCTAGGCCTTAATCATCGTAGTTGCTCTTTCACTTTTTCCAAAGTCTCAACTTCTTTTTTTTAATGTGACCAAAACTGGGTGCAGTATTCTTACTAAAGATTTATAAATCAATACTAATACTTCATGTGATTTTGATTCTATGCCTGTTTATACAACCAAGGATTGTGTTAGCTTTTTTGGCTGCTTCTGCACATGGCTGGCTCATATTTAAGTGATCACGCACTAGACTCCAAGGTCCCTCTCACAGTTGCTGTTTTTGAGCCAGGTTTTTCCTAATCCCATGGTGGTAAACCTATGGCATGCGTGCCACAGGTGGCACGCAGAGCCCTCTCTGTGGGCACACGTGCTGTCAGCCCAGTCCTAGGCCTTCAGCTGGGTTTTATAAAACCTTTTTGCTTTAGGCCTCCGCCGTCACATGCAAAAAAAAAAAGGTTCAATCAATCAATCAATCAATTTCAGCTTCTCACGGAAAAAAAAGGATTCGCAAAGTTGGAATTGATTGATTGAAATTTTTAGTCTTACCCAGTCTGCTGTTACCACTGCAGCCACGCCCACCCAATGGGCCACACCCACCCAATGGGCCACGCCCACCCGGCACCCGACAATAAATAAGTGGGTTTTGGGTTGCAGTTTGGGCACTCAGTGTCTAAAAGGTTCGCCATCACTGGCCTAATCTGTACTTGTACCATTTTTCCTTCCTTTTCAGATTAGTTACAATTTTGTTTCCCAGATTCTGAAAGATAAAATTCAGTTTCCTTTCTTCTACCCAATGCTCCCTGCTGAAGGTTTCCAGTATTCAGGGATGGTCAAGCTGCTCCTCCATTTCAGGTGGACCTTGGTTGGTCTGATTGCTCCAGACAGTGACCAGGGACAGAAATTCATGATAACATTGACTTCCATGCTAATAAGAAATGGAATTTGTCCAGTTATATCACAGAATCTTTCACCAGGTCGCCAACATATCTTCATAGATTTTAACCTATATCACAAATGGAGACAAGTGAATGTCTTCCTTTATGCTACAGAGATTGATTCAGTCACCATGGGAATAGCCGTTCTAGAATGGTTACATCGAAGAATTAAGGAACCTGTTGCAGGAAAAGTTCTCATGACAACAGTGCTCTGGGACTTGAATCTTTATTTCAGTGAGCAGGGATTCCCCTTGGAAGGCATTCATAGCATCCTTTCCTTTCTTTTGAAGACAAATCATATGTCAAAGTATGGTGATTATAGGCAGTTTTATTTTTCCATGAGACATTTTGCAGAAAAATCCTTTATGTGCTCCTACACCAAGGATGCTTTTTCTGTGAAAGTCTGGAGACGCTGCAGAGAGAGAGAAGAACTGCCAACTCTGTCCCAGGAGGAGCTGGATCAGATCCTGTGTCTGAACAACTATTTCATTTACAACACCATCTGGGCTGTGGCACAGGCCTTACATGCAGCCTATTTGTCCAGATCCAAGAGGACAAAGATGGGAGGTGATAAGAGCTTGGAAATTCCACGGCTGAAGGCATGGCAGGTATACTGTTGTATGCATCTCTCTTGAAAGCAAGAATCCTCTTTGTAATTGTAAGCAATGGGGAGCTATTCTGAAAATATCATTTATTCTGAATACAAGAAAAAAAAAAAGAATTACAACTTTTCATTACTCTCCCTGTTGCATTCCCTTCATATTTTCCCTTCTTTGCCAAGATATTTGCCTTTTAAGTTGGTTTTCAAAGATGTTTGGCCATCTTTTTCCACATTCAATCAAATGCCATTTAATAATAATAATAATAATAATAATAATAATAATAATAATAGTAAAGTTGGAAGGGACCTTGGAGGTCATCTAGTCCAACTCCCTGCTCAGGCAGGAAATCCTATACCATTTCGGACAAATGGCTATCCAGTCCATTCTTAACAACTTCCAGTGTTGGAGCATTTACTGCTTCTGGAGGCAGGTTGTTCCACTGGTTAATTGTTTTCACTGTCAGGAGGTTTCTCTGTAGTTCTAGGTTGCTTCTCTCCTTGCTTAGTTTCCACCCGTTGCTTCTTGTCCTGCCTTCAGGCACTTTGGAAAATAGCTTGATTCCCTCTTCTTTGTGGCAGCCTCTGAGATATTGGAATTTATTTTATTTATTTTATTTTTAAAATTTATAAACTGCCCCACTCCCGCAGGACTCTGGGCGGCTAACAATAAAAACACCATAAAACATGACAAAACAAACAGTATAATAACAGTCATTCAGGGGTCAGATTTTATAAACCCCAGGCCTGCCGGAAAAGCCAGGTCTTAAGCAGCTTACGGAAAACCAACAGAGTGGGAGCGGTCCTAATCTCCGGGGGGAGCTGGTTCCAAGACGTGGGTGCCATCACAGAGAAAGCCCTCCTCCGCGGCCCCGCCAAATGGCACTGCTTGGCCAACGGGACCTGAAGGAGGCCCAGTCTGTGGGATCTAACCAGATGAAGGGAACTATGAGGTAGTAGGCGGTCTCGCAAATAGCCTGGCCCTGAGCCATATAGGGCTTTTAAGGTAATAACCAATACCTTGAATTGGACCCGGAGACCAATAGGCAACCAGTGCAGCTCACGGAGGATAGGTGTAATGTGGGTGTATCGAGAAGCACCCACTATCACTTGCACGGCTGCATTCTGGACCAACTGTAGTCTCCAAATACTTTTCAAGGGTAGCCCCATGTAGAGTGCGTTGTAGTAGTCCAAACGTGAGGTGACAAGGGCATGAGTGACTATAAGGAGAGCCTCCTGGTCCAGGTAGGGTCGCAACTGGTGCAACAGACGAACTTGTGCAAAGGTCCTCCCAGCCACAGCCATCAAATGATGTTCCAAATTCAGCTGTGGATCAAGGAGGACACCCAAGTTGTGAACCCGCTCCGAAGGGGGTATATTTTCCCCCGCAAGAGTCAACACTGGACAGTCGACATGATCCTTGGGAGGCAACATCCAAAGCCACTCGGTCTTGTCAGGATTGAGCCTGAGTCTGTTAACCCCCATCCAGACCCTCACAGCTTCAAGGCAATGGCCCATCACATCAGCTGCTTCACTGAGAGAGCTCGGGGAGGAGATATATAGCTGGGTATCATCAGCATACTGATGAAACCTCACCCCGTGCTGTCTGATGATCTCACCCAGCGGCTTCATGTAAATGTTAAATAGGACGGGGGAGAGGACCGACCCCTGCAGCACGCCACATTCAAGGGGCCTCGGGGTTGACCTCTGCCCTCCCACCAATACCCATTGTGACTGGCCAGAAAGGTAGGAGGAGAACCACCATAAAACGGTGCCTCCCACTCCCACCCCTTGAAGTCATCGCAAAAGGATACCATGATCGATGGTATCAAAAGCCACTGAGAGGTCAAGTAGCACCAAGACAGAGGAATAACCCCTGTCTCGGGCCCGCCAGAGATCATCCATCAGCGCGACCAAAGCAGTTTCTGTGCTGAAGCCGGGCCTGAAGCCAGATTGAAAAGGGTCTAGATAATCTGCTTCATCTAGAGACCGTCGGAGCTGGAGCGCCACCACTCTCTCTACAACCTTCCCCAAAAAGGGGAGACTGGAGACTGGACGGAAGTTATTTAAGTCAGACGGGTCCAGGGTAGGCTTCTTGAGAAGGGGCCTCACAACCGCCTCCTTCAAGGATTGCAGGAAAGACCCCTCCCTCAACGAAGCATTGATCAACACCTGGAGCCAGCCTCGTGTCACCTCCTTGGCAGCCGAGACCAACCAGGAAGGACACGGGTCCAATAAACAAGTGGAGGTGCTCATCTCTCCCACCGCTCTGTCAACATCCTCAGCGGTCACAGACTCAAATTCATCCCATAAAACTGGGCTAAGACCTGCCCCAGTCATCTCAGAAGGCCCTGCCCAATCGGAGTCTAGGTCTGTCCGAATCCGAGCGATTTTGTCTGATAGGACAAATTCCTCCACCCTACCCTGTAAGGGCTCCCCGGCTTCCCGAACGTTAAGTAGGGAACGGGTCACCCTAAACAGGGCAGCGGGGCGAGATTCTGCAGACGTAATAAGTGCGGAAAAATGCGAACATTTTGCCGCTCGTATCGCCACTAAATAAGTCCTAATATAGGCTCTTAAAAGTGTCCGGTCGGATTCGGAGTTACTGGCCCTCCAGCGTCGATCTAGACAGGAATACTGCTATCATGTCCCCCCCTTGTCCTTCTCTTCGTTAAACTAGACATAACTCTCTTCTCTTTGCAACCAGGAGAAGATTAGTCTGGAAAACAGAGCCCACCACTGAAAAGACATGCTTCCTAGGTCCCATAAGTTGGCAATATGGGGAATTTGCAACATGCCCTCCTTATCAGAGTATGTGCATTGAGTAGATGTGTAGAGTGCACATCTTCCCAAAAGATAGTTCCGCTCTAAAAGTACAATTTTCCTGCCATTTCCTTTCCATCCTGAGACGTTAAGGAGAGTCTCTTCTGAGGCTTTTTCATCACTCATGATGCAGCAATGGACTGTACCCTCTCTTATTTTATTGTTTCCGAGCTTGCACTTCTTTGCCTCATTTCTCAGAGTCTTTCTCACTGAGCTTTGTATGTTCATCCTGGCATCTCCAGGCTCTTTTTAAGGTTGGGAGCTCACCTTTTTTTCCCCTGGGAATTGCAGATGAAACCATTGTGCAAACTTGGGCATCGACATCTGTTGCATTTGCCCATGATTGCTCCAATTCCAGATAGTCCTTTAATTGAATCAGATACTCGAGATATCTATGGAGATTCTCAGTCATCCAGGCCATAGTGGTCCCAAAGTCGCTTTTGTACGAGGCAACTGGAATTTCTTCAATTTCCTTTGAAGACGTTTCGCTTCTTATCCAAGAAGCTCTGAGCTGAAGAAGCTTCTTGGATGAGAAGCAAAATGTCTTCAAAGGAAAAGCAAGAAAGTCCAGTTGCCTTGTGAAAAAGCATCTTTGGGAGAGACTCCAAATGTTGCCCTTGCATCTTGAGACCAGAGTAGCCTCTGCACTTTCTTATCATCCACCAGGAGAAAGGGAGGTGGAACTGTCCTTATCCATAACTATCGCACTCCCACCCTGATGGGATTAGCCTGTCTTGCCCTCACCAGCCGTAGAAGAATGCTGCAGAACCCTGTCAGTCAAGGAATGTTGACTGGCAGGGTCCAGGAGAAGAGCCTTTTCTGTTGTGGCTCCTGCTATCTGGAACATCATGCACCCCCTCCCGAGGTGAGATCTGCACCCCCTCTTTTGGCCTTCTGAAAAGGCTTGAAGACATGGTTGTGCTGACTGGCCTGGGGCCCCAATGGGTGCATGTCATTAAGGAGGTGGCTAATGGATTATAGAAGACACCACCTCCTCCCCATGCATATACCATTCCCTTCCTCTCCATCTTGGTGAATTTAAATTTTAATAGAAAATTGATGGCAGAAAAAAGACTTAGTGGTTCATCAAGTCTACCCTTTGCATCTTTCTTTCTTTCTTTCTTTCTTTCTTTCTTTCTTTCTTTCTTTCTTTCTTTCTTTCTTTCTTTCTTTCTTTCTTTCTTTTTTCTTCCTTCCTTCCTTCCTTCCTTCCTTCCCTCCCTCCCTCCCTTCCAAATTAATGTCTCTATTTATTGTTTCAATATTTTATATAGGTGTTTTTAATGAGTGATTATAAGCTGCCTAGAGTGCCATTTGGTGAGTTGGGCAGCATGTAATTTTCATAAATAAATAATAAATAAATAAAGCTGTGGAGGTTTGCCTCCCATGCAAGGAAGGATCAATGGAAAACAGGATGCATCTTTATTGTTGCAGGAAATTATAAAATGGATGTGGAGCCTTCTTGGAACTTCTGAAAGTACTGTGCTGGAACTGCTTTCAGCTGTTCCAAGAAGTTTCCACACCCATTGGCACTATTCAGGTGGCCCTAAGGGCACAGAAAAAAGGAAAAACAAAATCCAATTGTCTTTGAGACAATCGTGACCTGGATCTCCACAGATATTTAAAAATCACCTCCTTTGTTCAATGCATGAAATAGATAAAATCTGGGACAGGTTTGGAAATCTCATGAAAGAACTTCCAGATAATGTAGGCCAAAAAACAGATAATTCCAGATTCCAGGAAAAGAATTACATTTTTCATGAGAATAATTAAAGAAACCAGAATCTCTGTGGAATTCTCTCTCCGGTCGATCATATTTCATATTGTTTGTCCAGACTAATTTAAAATACTATATTAGTAAAGATTAGAATTCAAATGTTAACAAATTGTTTCCTGAAAAACTTGGAAAATGAATCTGAAATCTTCACTTCCCTCTCATCATCATAGTTCAACATTCCCATTTTCTCTTCTCTTCCAGCTTCATCCTTTCCTTGGAAACTCTGAATTTTATAATAAATCCATAGATGGTGTGTATCTGGATGAAAAGGGAGACCTGGCAGTGGATCTGGACCTTGTCAACTGGCTGCAGCACAACAGATCCATTACCAAAGTGAAGTTTGGCAGCCTTGAAAAACAGGGGTCTCTGGATTTCAAATTTATGATCAATCCACATGGTGTGGCAGAGATGGATAAAATGAACAAGGTGGGGAAAATCTTTATTTAAGTCTTTGTGAATCTCTACCAAAGAGGCTGCTTTATTTGGGACAGAGCCTTTTTTAAAAGTCATCTTACATCCTCCAACAGAGGCATCAAATTCTATTGTTAGATATCAAGCTGTTAGTGAGAAATATATCCTTAACTATTTAAGGACCCGTGGTGGCGCAGTGGCTAGAATATAGTATTGCAGGCTGACTCTGCTCACTGTCAGGAGTTCAATCATGATTTGCTCAAGGTTGACTCAGCCTTCCATCCTTCCAAGGTCAGTAAAATGAGGAACCAGATTGTTGGGGGTAAGATGCTGACATATGTAAACTGTTCAGAGAGTGTTGTAAGGCATTATGGAGTGGTATAAAAGTCTAAGTGCTATTGGTATCCCAGACTATAAACTTCTCTAGTGAGATAGGTCTTTGAATACATCCAAAGTATATTCATTTGAGGTTGATCAACTGTACCTCAAGTGAGAGTACTGGACTGACTTTTTTTTCCCTAAGATCCATTTCTTTTTGTTTTTCTTGGTTATCCACAGTATTCTTGGGAGTCTATTCCAACAACAAAGTTTGCAAAACTCTTTCTATCTTGCTTCTTCAAAATCCAATTTTTGATTGTTGGGGGCAATATGCTGACTATGTAAACCACTTAGAGAAGGCTGTAAAGCACTGTGAAGCAGTATATAAGTCTAAGTGCTACTGCCATAGCTATTTAAGGAAACTATACACTAGTCTTCTGTCAGGCTAAGTAGTTTTGAGCCAGGGATGGTTTGAGTTCATTACCTCAACAATCCATTAAACTTTACCTCGAACAATTTAATATATAAATTTAGAACCTAAAATAAAAATGGAAGTATACAAAAATTAGAAAGAAAGAAGAAAAGAGAAGTAACATGCAACCAAGCAAATTGTTCTATTTATATAGGCTTCAAATTTAGAAAGCCAAGTCTTGAACTGGGGATCACAATCCTTTTCTTTCTTTTTGTCCTTTCTGGAATTTAAATCATGGATATTTTTCTCTTTGGATGTCTTTTTCCTTCTACTCAGCCCCTGCCTTCTTCCAGGTGTGTGAAAAGCTGCAGTCTCGGATTCAGAAAAATGACTCAGGAAGAAAAGCCCATTTGCTGTTATGATTGCCTTCCCTGTCCTGAAGGAACCATCTCCACCATGGAAGGTGGGTGGCACCAAGGGAAAGGGGCAAACTTTCCTTTCTCAGAAGACCACATACCCCAACATTTTCCATAAGGGTATTTTGATAGGACTCTTATGTAATATGTATGTTTTTCCCTAGTGAGTGATAAGCAATGACATTGGAGGTTAAACTGGAAACAAAACTAAACAGATAATGGTGCAATATCACCAGGGAGATGCCCTCTCCTATCCTTCGTCTTCATCTCATCTTTCCTGTTTCAAATTGCTATTCACTCCATTTCCCTAAAAAGTGAGACTTTCCAGGGATGGAATGTTGGGGGAGGAGTTTTGTGATAAGCAATGAATCACAAGTTAGGGTTGAGCCTTCTTACCCTAGTGTAGAAGTCTTCAAACTTGGCAACTTTAAGACTTGTGGACTTCAACTCCCAGAATTGCTCAGCCAAATCCATACCCTAGTGCAGGAGTGTCAAACTGAGCGCATCACTTGACATGTCACGACGTATCGTGATTTTTTTCCCCCCTTGCTGGAGCTGGGGTGGGTGTGGCTTCCACATGACACATCTGGCCCATGGGCCAACAGTTTGACACCCCTGCCCTAGTGGGATGATTGTCTACAAAATGTTAGAAGCAGTAGTGTTTGAATCCAGTCAGAGCTGAAGGAGCTTCTTGGATGAGAAGTGAAAACTCTTCAAAGAAAAACCAGAAAGTCCAGTTGCCTCTTGAAAAAGCACCTTTGGGACAACCATGACCTGGATGACTGAGGTTCTCCATAGACAGTAGTGTTTGAAGAAGCATGAAGTCACCGTGCAGGCCACCTCCATCTTATTTTTCTTGGGCCATGAAATATTGTTTTTGGATTTCTGTCTAAAGAAGCTGTGATGAGTGGCCCTTCACATGCATGTCATTCCATTCTAAGCAATGTTTTCTCTCTGACTTAATTCAGTGTGAAAGGGATCACCTCTCTCTCTCCAGTCTCTGTCAGGTGCCTTGATGGCCATCCTGTTTTAAGGCTCAAATTCACACAGTTGCTAGGTGAGAATACTCAAGGCTGAAGAGATAAAATTTAGATGAGGAAAGGAAGTTAAATCAAAACAGAGTCTCTTGGAAAAAAAAGCTTGCCTGCAAGTTTCAGCAGAAATGGACAGAAGTGACTTTCCCCAAGATGGAATGCTGAGTTGTGGGCAACTCCTTTTCTTCCATCTATCGGTATGAACATCTGATTTCACCACCAAAGCTGGTTATGTGGTGGTTTTGCTCCCTGTTTTTTGAAGGAGGGACTAGGAAGGACCCAGGATGACTTTCGGACAATTATGCACCTACAGAGAAGAGGGGATCATAAAGACTGCAATTCTCATTAAGAAGTAATCTGCAGGTAGCTTCTCTTACCATCTTACTTTCAGCTGTTCATTTTTCCTAAGGACTCCTGAGTTTTAACTGCACTTTTGAAAAGCTTTACTTTTTATTTAGGACTAGTTGATATAGTTGATAAATAACTAGTTGATAAATAATTTTCTGGAAAGGTTTTTTTCTCATCAGTCTTCAAAATGTGTGCTGAAGGGAAGTGATTGTTTCTTGCTATACAGACATGAATGAGATGGGCAAGGAAACAGTGGGAGATACCAATAAGATTAATCCCGTTGAGCAGATTTGGAAGGGACTATTGAAGTCAAGGGTCCACTCTTTTCCTCATTTCAGAAAACAAATTAGCTTTAACAACAGCTGGCAGCTGAGACAACATGGGATTTTAGCATTATAGAAAAGAAATAAGCTTTAAATCTGTTTTTTTCTCCAGACACAGAACAATGCAACAAATGTCCAGCAGATCAATATCCAAATAACAACCGAGATCACTGTATCCCCAAGATTAAGACTTTTCTATCCTATCAAGAAAAATTGGGAATCATCCTGACTTCCATTGCCTTGTTCCTCTCTTTAATCACATGCTTTGTCTTGGGAATCTTCATTAAATTCCAAGAAACTCCCATTGTCAAAGCCAACAATCGAGATCTCTCTTATATCCTTCTTGTTTGTCTCCTGCTTTCCTTCTTCACCTCCTTCTTGTTCATTGGCCAGCCAAGGAGAGCAACCTGCCTTCTTCGACAAACAGCATTCAGCATCATCTTCTCTGCTGCCATTTCTTCAATCTTGGCTAAAACAATCACAGTGGTGATGGCTTTCTGGGCCACAAAACCAGGGAATCAAGTGCAGAGATGGCTAGGAAAGAGTTTGGCCAACTCCATCATCCTTTCTTGCTCTGGTCTCCAAGCTGTTGTCTGCAGCATCTGGCTTGTCACTTTCCCCCCATTTCCTGAATCCGACATGTATTCACTCTCTGGAGAAATCATACTACAGTGCAATGAAGGTTCTGTCACCATGTTTTATGGTGCCCTTGGCTACATGGGCTTTTTGGCTGCCATCTGCTTCACAGTGGCTTTCCTGGCCAGGAATCTGCCTGGGGCCTTCAATGAAGCCAAGCTGATTACCTTCAGCATGCTGGTCTTCTGCAGTGTCTGGCTGTCCTTCGTGCCTACATACTTGAGTACCAAAGGGAAGTACATGGTGGCCGTGCAGGTCTTCTCCATCTTGGCTTCCAGTGCAGGAATTCTGGGCTGCATCTTCATGCCCAAGTGTTTCATTATTTTCCTAAGACCAGATATGAATACAAAAGAACATTTGATGTCAAAATAAAATAGAAAAGTGAGGTTTGGGCAACTATGTTAAAAAAATACAGGTAGAATTCACCTACCAACTTCCTTGTTTAGTGATCATTCCAAGTTATGATGTAGTTACGACTGGTCATTAATTTTAAAGCTACTGCACAGTCCTCCAGGTGTGTAATTGACATGTCCAGGTTTCACAACTAGCTTCTGACAATCAATTCAGGGTGCCCACCTTACTTGAATACCATACATGGTAGCTGTACTGGCCTTCTCCACATTGGCTTCCAATGCAGGATTCTGGGCTGCATCTTCATCTGCAAGTGTTTCATTATTTTCCTAACACCAGATTTGAATACAAAAGAACATGTGATGTCAATAAAAAATAAAAAAAGAGTTTTGGGTTGCTGTGTTCCAAAATATCAGTTACTAATTCTGAAACCTCTTTTGATATTTCAATATTCCCACTCCCCCATATTTTTCAATTCATGGCATTAATATGTTTAACAAATATGATTTCCCTCTTTATCTTTGCAATTGAGTGTATAGAAATTAGTATGAATGCTTGTCATGGCCTGAGAGACAGGTTACAAAACAGGTCCCACCTTGTGCTTTACCTGTAGATTTAGCAGACAATGAATCAAATACTGATCCCCTTTAAGGTTCCTCCACAGCTGGCACAAATTCCTGTTTGCTTAAGATGAGTGCCAAGATGGAAGGAAGAACCCTTTAGCATGAGAATCCTGCACCCATTAAAGTGAGTGTCCCAAAAATATTTTTTCCTGAGGCCACTGGACTTTTTTTTTTCTTTGAAGACATTTTGCTTGACATCCAAGAAACATCTTCAGCTCTGACTGGATGGTGGAGAATGGAAGGATTTATATTCCTTGCAGACAACTGGTCATTTTCATTGTTTTAGAGAGTTGTTGAAGCCATCTGGAGGTTTATCTGTGTTGTCAGGGAAACTTGAGTATTGCGAATGGGTATGGAGCCTTCTCAGAACTGTTGAAAGAACTGTTCCAGTCTACAACACAGTCCTTTCCACAGTTCCAAGAGGGCACCACACCCATTTGCACTACTCAGGTGACCCTGAGGACGCAGACAAACCTCAAGGTGGCTTCAACCACTCTCTAAAACAGTGGTTCTCAATCTGTGGGTCAGGACCCCATTTGGGGTCGAAAGACCATTTCACGGGGGTCGCCAAACAACGCAGTCCGCCATTTTTTCCCCTTTTCCTTAGCTGTGCTACTCCCTTTTATTCTATTGGCTTTTGAAAGCTAATAGAATAGACTCTCTTGAATAGAGTCTAATTCTATTGGCTTTCAAAAGCCAATAGGAATTGTCCAGGCTGTCTCTGCCCTGCTGAGCCCGCCAAAAGTCCCATTCTGCAAACGGTGCTGCACCAGTTGAGTAGTCCTCAACTTACGACCGGTTGAGTAGTCCTCGACTTATGACCGGTTGGGGGTTGCAGCATTAAAAAGGTTGAGAACCACTGCTCTAAAAGAATGTAAATGACCAGCTGTCTGCAAAGAGTATAAATCTTTCCATTCTCCACCATCCAGTCTGAGCTGAAGAATACCAGCAGAAGTGGCCCGAAGCACCATGCAGTGTCCTGCTGTGAGCAGCGGCAATAACGCAATGCACCCCATGGCATCCGGCCCTAAGTGGCGGCAAGCAGCTGCAGAAGAAGTCAAGCAGCGTCGTGACTTGTGAGAGAGGCCTGGCTGTGGTGGTCCTAAGGTAAATCACCCTCCCCCCCAAATAAGACCTGGTGCCTCTTTTGGAGGCAAATAAGTATTAGACTGGGTCTTATTTTCAGGAAAACACAGTAGCTATATTCAGGTGAGGAATGTGTTCAAGGAAAAGGAATAAAGAACCAAAGATGGACTCTTACATAGCAATAGCACTTAGACTTATATACTGCTTCACAGTTCTTCATAGCCCTCTCTAAGCGGTTTACAGAGTCAGCTTATTGTCCCCAACAATCTGAGTCCTCATTTTACCAACCTCGGAAGGATGGAAGGCTGAGTCAACCTCGAACTCCAGGCTGTGGGCAGAGTCAGCCTGCAATTTTGAACTTTAACCACTGCGCCACCATGGCGCTTCAACTTCATTCTATCCTCCTCAGGCAGCATTTTGGGCCTTCAGTCTTGGAATTCCCGGTGGTCTTCTATTTCATTTTTAACCAGGTCTGATCCTATTGTAAGGTTTTTAGCTGGCAGCAGGAATCTGAGTCTCTCAAACAGCCAAACAGGAACTCAGACGGAGGCTTCAGGAGCGGGGAAAAGCAGCCCAAAGCGTGCAGGCAGCAGAAGTGGCCCGAAACACGGTACAGCTTCTTGCCAGTAGCAGCAGAAGTTGCCCAAAGCACCAAGCAGCCTCCTGCTACAAGCAGCGGCAATGGCACAATGTGCCACCTGGCATCTGGCTGCAAGTGGCCACTGAAGAAGTCAAGCAGTGGCACAATGGGTGTCAGGGTATGGGAGACCTGGCTGTGGTAGTCCTACCAGTAAGGTAAGCGGGTATGGGCACGTGGGGCAGTTTTACCCCTACCCCCATCCTAGCTTGATTTTTAGGAGTGTGCCTTGTCCCAAAACTAGGGCTTAGTTTTGGAGTAGGGCTTATATTAGGCCCAACCCCAAAAATCAAGCTAAGCTTTACTATCGGACTGGGTCTTACTTTGAGGGAAACATGGTAGTACTTATTTTGTTGCTTTGTCTGTGACTAGTTTACACTCTGCAGCTAAAAGTTTGCTTTGCTCAATAAATTGGGTCAGATTTAACCCGTTCATGTGTTCATCAGAACTTCTTCCTCACCCTTGGCTGGGGCAAAACAAGACTAGATTGGGAAGTTGAAAAATATATTTGAATGCAGCAAAGGCAAACTACTTCAGGTTATTATTGAGAAAATGGTGCTGTTTGAATCAGACCCTCATATAAATAAATAATTGATTGATTAATTATGTGTCATCAAAGCAGTGCCAACTCTTTGTGAGCACATATCTGTGGAGATTCTCAGTCATCCAGGTCATAGTTGTCTTAAAGGTGCTTTTTTTCTTCTTCAAAAGGCAACTGGACTGTTTTTTTTTCTTGAGGAGGAAGAAAACATTTTGCTTCTCATCCAAGAAGCTTCATCAGTTCTGATGGCGGGGACAGAGGGAATGGAAGGATAGGAATTTACAGTTGAGACTGGACTGGGGATGGAAGGATAGGTTTTGATAGGATGGGGGGGGAATGGAAGAATTGTATTTCTTTGCAGTAATCTGGCCATTAGCACTCTCTCTGAGAGCTGTTGAGGCCACCTAGGGGGTTATCTGTGCCCGTAGGATCAAACAAAACCTTTCCAGGATAAACCTGGCCATACAGGACTCTGAGTGGTGCCTTCATTGCCACAGTAATGAAATCCATCTGTCTTGTTGCTGTTCCTCTCCTTCCCCCCATCATTCCTAGTTCTGTGGGTTCCTCAATGGAGTCTGGTCTTCACATAATTCAGGCCTGGACACTAAAACATATGAACAACAGTTTTAACACAGGGGACAGTTTTGCATTTCTGAATCCATGGTGGAGGTCTTTGCAACAAGCCAAGCCACACATCAATATAGGGTGCCTGGTCTGGGTGCCCTAACATGGGATTGAACACTAACTGATGTACTTTTAGAGCAATGAATGGATCTAGTGTCCCTGTGCTTGGCCAGCCTATGTTAAAGCTGGGCCAATCTACCTCACAGAAGATCCTCAACTTATGCCTGTTCCACTTAATACCATAATCCTGATCCTCATAAGCAAACTTAAAATGCTTTAACATACACCCCAATGGAGTAAGGAGTACACTTTCACCATCATCCCATGAGCATCCCAGGGCACCAGACAAGACAAATGAGGAAAGGAGATGAGAGGAAGGTAAGGGGTCCTTCCACTCGGGATTACACTGAGGGTTTCACTTATACGCGCTAGACCCAGGGAGCCGGAAACTCAACGGTCACCGATGGGAAGTTCGAGCGCCACTCACTCACTGCAAACACACACAACAATCCTCCCACCTTATTCCAAAGAGAGGGTGATCAGTCCTCTCCTCCGTCCCTGCTTACAGGGAGGGATTCCTTATTTCCCTTTCAATACTTGCCTGCAGGCGAATCCTTTGTCCTCTAGCCGGCTGGAAAGTTGCCTGGTCTCCTTACCCTTCACCAGTGGTTCTTGGAGTGGCCGACCGCCGATGCTGGAGCCCTGTGTCACAGGGAAGTCCCTCGGAATAAAAGGTCCGATGGCGCCTGGAATGTTCCCCCTAGCACTACAGGCCCCTGGCATCAGGGTGTGCCCTCCAGAGAGCCCCAAGACTCCTTGCCGTCCGACCGCGGTCGCCAGATAATTGTTGTGGAAAAAACCACGATACTTACATCAGAAGACAAGATCACGAAGGGTTGGAGAAAACAGGCTTTATTTGTGCACAATGGTTCAGAGCATTCACATGACAAATTCTGAACCCTGAGTTACTCTGAGGGTGTCACTTTTATACAGCTTGCCGCCCACGCTTAACCTAATAGATGACTTCTTATCTACTTTTAACACACTAAAAGAGAGAAGTTCATATCTTGAGGCTACACAAGGAAAAAGGAGACGTTCACACAAACGGTTGTCTTACCACACCTTTCTGCACGGGTGCTATCTTACAACATCTGTGACTTTTAGTTGACACTGACACCTTGTAAGATGGTTTCTACATAGCATGAACACATCTCTATAATTATGACACACAGGTTATATGATTTAGGTTACATTTCACAGCCAAACTTAATATTATCTATTAACTATTATCAGCAACAAGCATTCCTATTAAGATATAGATATATTGAACTTTTTCCTGCCCACCTCAGCAGGATTTGGGTATAGCTAGTCTAGAGAAAAAAAGGACAAGGGGTGACATGATAGCAGTATTCCAGTATTTGAGAGGCTGCCAAAAAGAGGACACTATGCCTCTTCTATGACTCTTGCAGTATTGCAGTATAACTGACGACTGCCAGCAGTTCAATCCTGA